TTTCGGCCATGTTCCCTCCTAATTTCGTGTTAGGTATCTTAAGTAGTCAGGTGCTCCTATAAGTCTTGGTCTTTAATTAATTTTAACTTTCCATGTCACTGCTAATTACATGCTGGGCATGAAAATCATGATCTTCCTTTCCCTCCTAAAAATACGTTAGAATGTTTTTCACGTTAAAAAATATACTAAAATTACAAATTCTGCTTATAAAAGAAAATGTTTGGTAAAGATTAAAAAATATTTGTTTTAAAAGTAAATTTTTTTTATAAATTTAAGATTTTATTAGGAAAAAAATCAAAATTTGATTTTTAAGATGTGTTTTAAGTAAGTGTTAAATTTTTTTTTTTTAATTTTAAATTTAAATCGTATGATATACGATGAGGTGATTTAAACAGATGAAAAAAAAATGATTGACAACTTTGGTTTCGTTATTGTCACTATAAAGATTGTTAAAGGCAACAATATTTTGGGTTTTTTTTTTTTTTTTGAAAAATGGCATATATTATTTCTTAATGAACCAAATGATTACATAAAGCCCTTGGAAGAGTACCAAACCAAACACCCTCCCATGGAGGAAAAGGGGACTGCAAGTGTGCCAGAACATGAGTTAACAAAATGCAAGTCCTTGTTACATGTGAGATACGAAAGGAAACAAAACAGAGCTTCTTGGCCCAGAGGTCATCAACAATAACCCCAAAAGGGAGATAACATTCCTCTTCAGAATTGGCTATATTGACAACCTGGAGACAATCTGATTCAAGCTCAACTCTCTTACAACCAAACTCTCGACCCAACTGTAGAGCAAAGTCAAGTGCCATTATTTCAGCCTAAAGCACTGAACCTCGAAAGCTGCAAGCCTTCTGCGCAGAGCCTAGAACCTTGCACTCACGATTTCGGTGAACAACACCAAGCGTCACTATATGCTGGTTCTCTAGCAGAGCTGCATTTACATTAATCTTTGCTTGTGTTCCCTAACGAAGGCTGCCAAACAGCCTGCTCCACTGCTCTCTCCTGTTGCCAAAGCTGATGTCCTAACTCTCCAGCACTCCTAAACTCAACAATGTAATCCAGAAGCCATTTAGCTGTATGGACCGGCATGTTACAAGTATGTTTAAAAAGCAATAATTACGGTTGCTCCAAATAGCCCACATGGTGACAGCAACATGTTCTCTTTGGTCCTTACTCAAAACCAAGAAAGAGTTTAGAAAGTCATCAAGGTAAGAATCTTGCCTTATCCCTCCAAGATCAAAAAAAGGGCAGGAAGCTCCCCAGACTGGCACGCTCCTTTTGCATTGGACGAAAAGATGATAGTGGGATTCTTCCTCTGAAGCACAGGTATTGCATATTTTATCAGTATCTACTCCACGTCTTAGCAGCGCAATTTTTGAAGGCAAAATCTCCCAAACAAACGTCTATAGAAAATGTTTAATTTTTGGTGGAATGTCCATGAACCAAATAGAATTCCAAATAGGCTTCATAAGATCAGTATATTCCTGGAAATCCAAGGCATGGATAGCCTCCCAGGCAAGACGATATGCAGATTTAACAGTAAATCTACCATTAGGAGTGCTTTTCCATATTAAGAGATCCTGAATGCAATGCTTACTTAATGGAATATGTTGTATTGTCATTGACAGCAGGTTGAAAAAACTGTTGCAATTTGTCCATATCCCATTAGCCTTCTTGCTGATTTATCGAAGAACTTACCCGAGTGTCACCATCAATTTCTTGAGTGCCATTTATTGGAGAAACCAAATCAGCCTCCAGAATCCAGTTATCTCGCCATATCCGCACGTTATCACCCCTAACTATTCACCAGAGGGAGCCTTTCTTTAAAACTCCCAGGCCATCCATGACACCCCTCCAAACCATAGAAGGATTAGAGCCCAATTCAGCTCCTAAAAGGTCTCCATGCCGGAAATACTTGGATTTGAGCACCTGATAGCATAATGTGTTCGCATCTTGCATAAATCTCCAACTTTGTTTGGCAAACATAGCTAAGTTGAAAGCTTGAAAATCTCAAAATCCCAACCCACCTAAACGCTTTGGCCTACAAACCAAATCCCAGCGTAGCAAATGGATTTTTCTCTTGTCAGAATTGTCCCCCCCACCAGAAATTACTAATTATGCTGTTCAGAGATTGCAAAAAAGAATGTGGCAAGTGAAAACACCCCATACAATATGTTGGGATAGCTCATACCACTGCTTTCATTAAAACTTCTCTACCCACCTTTGATAACAACTTGTTCTTGCACCCTTTAATCTTGGACCATATCCAATCACTTTTATTAAATATTATCTAAAAATGTCAATTTATTGATTGATTAATTAATAAATATTAACTAATTTATTAATTAATAATTATAATTATTAGTAAATTACAATTATTAACCATTTTGATATGTCAAATTAAACAAAACCATTAATTTTAAATACAACTAGACCTCAATCCACACTTTACGCAGTTTGTCTATTTTTTTTTAATAAATTTTGATAATAATAATAATAATTAACTAAAATTATATGTATCTTAAAGTATTGTTTTGATAATTAATCATTTTAAATGTATTAATTCATAAAAAAAATGCCTTAATGGTAAATTGGAAAAATATTTAAATGTACAAATTAATCCACTTAATTTTAAAAAGTAAAGACAACTTTTCCTAATTTGTTACTATATTAACGTATTATGAAAATTTGTCAATCATCTTTGTTTATTCTTTCTCCTTATATTAGTAAATTGTTTGAAGTTATTTAGTCTCTCATTTATCATCTCCCTCTTATTTATCTCGTAGCATTATCTATTCACATATTATATTCTTTTTAATTTCTTATATTAAATCGCATCTCTCTACATATCTCTCTTTAAAGCACATTTCAATTCTCTAATTTGTTTTATTATCATATATTTATGTTATTGTTATACATTTTAATTCTGTCTTAACTTACTACATATATCTCTCCTCATTTCTCTTTTTTAAATTGATATTTTTTCACATTATTTTACACTTTTAATACTTTTTGCATCTTTTTTTTTTTTTTACTCTCTCATATTATTTTCGTGTAAGTATTTCATTCTAAATCCCATCTATATTAGTAATTTATTTTTTTATTATTCTTTATCCCTTATTCTTCCCTCTCTATTATTCTTATTAATTAGTCATTGCATATATATATATATATATATATATATATATCTTGCTATCATTTTATATCTTTTTTTAAACTAATTTTTCCTTCTTTCTCTCCCCTATATATATATATATTAGAAATGTTTTTAAGTCAAAACAAAAAATGCATGACTTATTAGCATTATTCTTTTGGTGCTTAATTATTCACTGACCCTTAATTCACCTTTCATCACTTTCTATGGAATCTTCATCTCTCAGCTTTCCTCTCAAATTTTATATCATTGTATTTAATTTTCTACTTTACACATTTTGTGTATCTCAATTTATTATTTTATATCTTATTTTGACTCTTTTTTCTACTTCAACATGTTTTATTAGAAAAGTTTTATGTCAAAACAGAAAAACATTTTCTTGGTTTATAAAAAAATAATAAAAGACACAACTTCTTAATATTATTCTCCTAGTATTTTTTCAATTACTTTTACTCCACTTTTATCATTATTTTTCTTGGAATTCCACCTCTTAGCTTCCCCTCTTACATTCTATCATTATATTCTCTCTACACTACAGTTGTGTTCCTTTCCCTCCCTACATTAGCAATTTATTTGCTATTATTCTTTCATCCCCTAATCTTTCTTTCTATATTATTCTTTTTTACTTAGTCATTGCAGCTTCATTTATCATTATATATTTCTTTTCTATCTTAAATTCGAAATGTTTTAGGCCAAAACATATGTGCTACAATTTTTGAACATCATTCTCTAGTTCTTTTTCACTTCTCTTTATTTCACTTCTCTTTATTCCACTTCTCTCATTATTAAATGTTTTTGCAACTCCATCTGTTAGCTTCTCCCTCTTTATATTTATTTCTCTACCCCACATTGCCTTCTATTTCCCTTTATAGATTAGAAATTTTATTTTCTATTGTTCTTTTTCATTTCATCCTCCCCTTTTTTGTTTTTTTATTAGTATTATTTGTTGATACTTTTTCATATACCTTTAGTCCATCTCTTATTAGTTTTTTCATAACTTCATCTTTTAGCTTATTTTATGAGTCACAATTTATCATACCAGACATTTGCCATCTCTTTCCCTCTCTATATTAGTATTTATTTTTTTTTTCTTTCTTTCAATTGTCATTCCATCTTTATTATTTTCTAAATCATTTCTCACCTTTACGCCTTCTCTTTGTAAATATTTATTTTTTTACTTACCTATATGCCTAAGGGATCGAAGTACCTATTGTACTTCTTCAAAAGTTATCTTCAATCATTACCATCATAATATACTACTTTTGATTCTCTTTTTCTATTTTTTTTTTCTCTTGTTCTAATAGGAGAAATCCAATATTAACAACTTAACAAAAATCTTAATAAAACTTTAATACAAAATATAAGAACTGAAGTGTAAAATTTTAGAAATTTGAGGACTAATACTAAAATTTCACCATAAAAGAGACAAAAGTTCACAATTGAATTGAATTATAGATCTGGCAGCTCTCACGCTTTAATTTTACGTTTTAAAAGTTGTCATCATGCTGCGGCCGGGGGGGCGTTTATGTACTTTAGTGCTCTTTTTCTGGCCTTGATTTTCAGTTTGCGCCTTTGTTTCACGAAGTGTTGTAGGAAGCGGAAAATAATGAACGAGATGTTGTTACCATGGATGTGTTCTTTGATGTTGAATTAGGACATGGGTTGGGACCTAGGAAGTTCTCTTACGATGAATTGTCCAAGAAAACAAAGAATTTTGCAGAGGAAGAGAAGCTTGGCGAAGGAGGGTTCGGAGCAGTTTACACGGGTGTCTTGAGGGATTCCTATACAAATGTTGCAATTAAAAGGGTTTCGAGCATGTCTGAACAAGGTATCAAGAGGCATGTATCAGAAATAAAGATTATTAGTCGGTGGAGGCATAAGAACAGCCCTTTTCAGACTCAGAGCTCTGACTCATAGATTAAACTCATCATCAACAATAATCTCAGCAACTGTCCCTTGCAGACTCAAAGCATAGAACCTTCCTTTGAATCCAATAGCATTGGTGAATTGCAGAAATTTCCCACCTCCTGATCTGTTCTGGTAATGGGGATCAATCAGAGTGCAGTCCTGCTTCACCCATTCTGGCACCTTTCCTTTTCCTCTCAACCTGTAGTACACAAATGCTGGATGGCTAGTTCCTGTCAACACCATCACGGTACAATGCCTAGTTGAATAATCTTCATTCAAAGAAGAGATTATGACACGCATAAACGGGACTTTGGGATCGAATTCAGGGAGACGACAATTGCTAATTCCATAATCTGGATACCAAAGATAGATATAATTTGAAGTTCCTCAAGTCACCAATGCATTGTGTGAGTAGCCAAGGAAATACTTCCAGGGGCCTTGAGATGACCATCTGCAAGGCAAGTAAGTGTACCCTTGATGAAATGAAATGTTGAATTGATCAGCAGGCTGAGTAACATCACCATAATTGCGAGGAACATGAACGTGATCGTCAGAGAGCTGAAGCCACGGCAGAGATGCATTTGGGTTGCACTGCTTTGCCGCTGCTGTCCATGACTTGGTTACACCTTCATAGCCGATGTTCCACATCAGAGTTGAATCCTTTCCAATTAGGTCGAGGAACATTTGAGGAAGATCTGGCCAGAACAAGGAGACTCTGGCTTGTTTCTCCAGTGGAACTTTCTTCTTGTTCTTTGTTTTTTGAGCCATCTGGTTTCTAATTGTGAAGATGAAAGAAGGCGGGAAAGTTAAGGGTCAGAGGAAAGACATAAAAAAAGATTTGAAGGCATCTCCTGGCGGTGGCTTTCAAGTTTCTCACCTCTGTTTTATTCAAATTATTCATGGTGGAGTTGTATTTGATTTTTTTTGTTTTTTATCTTTGAAAAAATGCATAATACGAGTTTGACTGCTGACATTATCAACTTGGGGAACAGGGTTTTGTAATCTTTTCGTGCGTTAGTTTTTCTTTGAGAAAAAGAAGTATGGACAAAGAAAGATTAACCGAAACCATGCAAAAAAAAAAAAAGAAGTATATACCGTAAAATGGTATGGTTTTCACCTCTTTTTTTTCTCTTATTTTTTTTCATAATGGTGTTGATTTCACATTAGTGACAAAAACTGTAATTCACTTGACTCATTAATAATATTTACCAGAAGATTCTGAGCCCGATATCCTGCGTCAGAGTGGAGAATGAATAAACAAATGGAGAGAGAGAAAGAAGAAAAAGAGGAGGTCACTTTAATATATTATTTTGCATACTATTCCTTGCGTCTGCTAAGTTAAAACAATTAATAATAAGTAGTTAAATAGGAATAGGAGAGGGTTACACAAGTTGATATACAAAGCAATGATAATCTATCAGGTTGAAGTCCACTTTTTTAAACAATGGGGAATTTGGGTATGGTAAAAGAATTACAAAAAACTAATTTACATGAGGATGGTTCTACCATCTTAAGTGGAGCACTCTCAATATTCCTTTAGAATTTGTTTAATTAGCATCCTCCTTAAATCTAGATCAATTTTAAGAGCTC